ATTACAAAACTTATTCTTGGGGTTCTGTTTTATTTGCTTGTTCATCCTGTGTGTCAAACTAGGACTGGTGTGATCCCATAAATTCTTTATGAGCATCGTGTGGTTTTGAAGGTGGTTTGGTACTCACACATTTCTTGCACTTTTTCAACAGAACAGGAGGTGCTTCTCTCTCTTGGGGTAGCCACCTGTGGAAGAGCCACAGAAAGGAAACTCTTCCAGAGAGTTCATTTTGCCATGATGGACTAGGTTTTGAGGCAGAGGAAGATCGTTTTTAATGCATAAAGTAGCAGGAAGTTCATGCATTTGAAACTTTAACACCATATATAATGAACTCTGCAAGGTGTTAAGTCCACTTAATTCCTATTGAAGTAATAGTAAATCCCATGGAACATGAAAGCTGGTCACAGTAGCATGATCTCAAATTTGTGACAGCAGAGCTAACAACCAAAATAATTGACTGCAGCCCACAGAGACCGTTTTTGGAATAACTGTTAGCAGTTACACTTTCAAAATGGCCCCAATCCAGCTTTCCCAATTCTTCTTGCAAGACTTCTGCCCACAGTTCATTATACTTGAAAACTTACTGGTGCGCACTGACAAAGGGTAACTTTTTCTGAAAGCTCAGTGTGCCTTTTTTAGTATTGTCATAAGGAGCTGCTGTTAGAGGGTTGAAGGATTAGCGCTCATCTTGAGCTTAAGAGTTTCACTATGAAACCTCTAAGGCAAACTTTATCTTTGCTGAGACCATCCCTTCTTTAGGAGCTGAATAATTGCCTTGTGCTTCTATCAAATTGGTAGCATAGTAATGTGTAATGCACTTGTAGCCAGAGTAGTTCAGTGTGATACAAGACATGGCCTTAAATGGCAAATATGCTTATTGTAACTTAAGGTCAAAGGTCTACAGTCAGTCCATCTATTGCTAAGAGCAGGATAGAAGCAATAAATAAATGCCTTGGCTGGTTTGGTGGAACGATAGAAATTGTGACACCTCTGGAGCACACTGGCATGATGACAAGTGCGCATCATCCTGCAGGGCTTTGGCTTCACAGTGCAGAAAGGGCATCTTGCACTGACCTGGCACTGCACTAAAATGCTGTCATTAGCACCATTGCTGTCATGCCCATAGTGTGGTGTTCAGCAGCAGATTGGATCTTGTCAGGATGATGCTTCTCACTCTTAGAAAAGCTTCCCACCCCCAATGCATGAGTGTTTCTCTTTGGGGCTCCCATTTGGTGTTTTGTTTGGAAGTAATGACATGGCTGTTCATCATATCTTCTCATGGCTTACAGTTGGGTTACTGCACATGTACACAGCTGCTTGCTGTCTAAAGACGTGTTCCTGAAAATATTTGTGCACAGATTTTAATGCTTTGGGCTGGGGAGCAATATACTTCTTGGAGTTGTTTCTTTTGCTTTTGACAGAATCTCATAACCATTTCCTCCCCTTCTGCTATGCATGTCTTCTGCAACCATTCTGTGTCTATCCGTTATATTTCTTTGATTGGCATAGTTGTACACCTTGACTTCTCATTACAGGCTTAGCTTAGATAAATGTAGCAGAGAAACCAAGACACCACTCCTCTTTCTGTGGTAGCACTATTCCCCATATGATGTTTTTTTGTGATCTTCTGGCCACAGTACACATATTCAAAGCTGGAAAGGTCACAGGTCTTCAGACCATGCTTGCCCAATGCTTCTACCACCTCATGGTAAGGTTTGGGTAAAACTCAGCTGTGGGAAATGAAATAGCACATGTTCCTGGGTGGCAAAGGGTAAAGGGGTGTGCCTCACTGAGGAATGATAATTTTCCACTTATTTGAGGGCCATAAGCTGAGTTTGGGAAGGCATCAGGTTGAAGTTATTTCAAAATTAAATTAAAGCTTCAGGTTACATCTTTAGGTCATAGAAGAAGGAAAGAAAAGCTCCTCTTCCCTGCAGCTATACTGCTGTAACTGCAGAAATGATGCTGAGCTGCTATCCTGAACTGCTATTCTGAAGTGTCACTCCAAGCAAATTTCTGTCCAGTTTTAGAATTCAATAAAATATTTGCTAGGATTTGGGTTAAATGAAACAAAGTGAGAAACGGCAGATTACATTTTCCACTTGTGCCTGTGAGCATAATTTCAAAGGCCAGTATATATATATATGCACAACTACCTAATACCACTTTTATGGAAACAAAGCCTAGAAGAGTATTGCCTTCATTCAGTATTGCCCTCAGTGTACGCTGTTGTAAATACACTAGACAGCTATGGTGTGCAGTGAAGAATTTCAAATGATTCAGCTGAAACTAAGAGTAATAGTGTTCTACCAAAAAGACCAATAATCTCTTCTGCTTACTTTAAAACGTGGAACTTATTAATGGAAAATATGCTCCAACACCTCACATGTTTATAGAACACTGCAAATATATACTTTCCTTCATTGTGGCAACTTCTATACCAAAGTATTACATAAACACAGATGCAAGCCTTGCAACACTTCAGTTGCAGATACTGCTACTTCTGTTTTTCAGGTAGGGAAGGTGAGGTGCAGGTGAGGTCAGGAGCTTCCACAGGGAGGCCTGGGACAGGGATGAGAACAGTATTCAAATCACTTATTCTTAGTGTTGGATTTAAACATAGAAATCTCCTTTCTCAAAGGATAATGCTACAGTTCTGTTGAGCACACTTATAAAGGCTCTGCCACCCAGGGATTATGGGTTTGGGAGGGCTCTGCTTTTTAGGAGGGCTAATTCCCTGTGAGCATTTCAAACTCCCCTTACTGCACTTCACACTCAGTTGTGAAACTGGAGAGAAGTGTGGGCCCCCTCCACACCAGGTGTTGCTTGGCTGAAGCAGATGAATAAACCACAACTTATCACTTATTAATCAGAGAGATTTAAAGTATTCAGTGCTTCTGGAAAGCAATCAGTATCTCCAATGGGAATTCTTTAGAATGTATGGTACTCTGTGGGGTATCTTTATGATTCTGTTGAGTCATATTCAAGAAATGTGAGGAATTAAGGAGCTTCAGCTATGGATACTACATGGTCAGTTTACTGAGGGGTTTTGCTGACAGCATTCATGCCTCAAATATAGATTTTTATTATTTGTTCAAGCCAACAGAACCTCCTTGTAGGATTATTGTGTTAGTTTAGGGTACAGTTGTTGATCAAACGGTCAACTGACTCTGTTCATCATGAACCTTGTTACCTCCCTTCTCCCTTCTGTATTTCTGTTCCATTTTGAGTGGGGAAAAAATAATATCTGCTTCTTGTTGATAAATTATTTTGGTCATTTTGTGCAACTGGGGAGATGGAGAAAAACTGCAGTTGGTGATGTAAGCGCCATGAATACACATCACTTTCTGGCAAACTGGGTACAAAGTCGAGGTTAAAGAAAAAGTTAGCGTCCTGCATATTTTCTATAGCTACTTGTGACATCAAACAGCAGTAATAAAGACATAAATACAACACAGACCATTGTTTTAAGTCTATTAGATTATTGTGTACCTGTTAGTGGTCTCACCATATGTTCTATAGAGGGATCATCTCAGTGCGTCTATCAAAAATGCTATTTAGTCAGCAGAAGGATGACTATATGAATACTATGCTGGATATGTTACGTGCCTGGACCATGAAATTCTGTGGAAATTAGTGGGCTGTTTGGAAATTGGTATTTACACTTTTGTCAACTGGATGTGAAATCCTGCCCTAGAGATCTGTAACGGAAAGCCAGACTCCGATGCTAGGTAGGCTTCTCAAAGATGTCCAAGCCCTAGAGTTTGCGGTAGGGAACAGATAAGGAAAAGCAGCCAGTCTGTTTATATGACTAAGGATTTTTTTCTTGCTCAAAATAGTTAAGTCTGTATTTTGATTTCAGACCTATCATAATATTTGAAGAACTTCATTCTGTAAGATCACCCCAATAAGACACTGAAAGAAACTCCTTAAGGTACCCATGTTATGCCTTCAGTTCCTATTAAAATTTTATCTAATGCTAAGACAAAAGCTTCTTCCTCTAGCAATGACTGACTTTTTTTTTTCAGTGCATCCTCAAGTGCTCAGCATCCTGAGTCATTTCAGACTAGACAGCTACATTCCCTTAGGGATACTGTTTTACAGTCTCATCTAGTAATAACTCTTCTAGCATCCATCAGATTTGCAGGCCCAAAAGAAGATCCTACAAATACTTTAAGGTGCTTTTAAAACCTTAGATAGGATCCTGTAAATTACAGACAAGGCTTGAAACTAATTTTGGATGAGAGAGGGAAAGGCTTTTTTTGTGAATTACTAACAAGACTATGTAACAGTTCTCTACCATGTCTAAATTTGGATTTAATATATTTTTGTTTGGTACCAGCTATATAAATGCAAGCAGTGGTATTTGGTGTAGTGTTTTATCTCAGCTGCCACTAGGTCTGTCCTCTAATAAAACAGTGACACTATAATGAAGTATATTTGTTATGCCTGGTAGATTTATCAAAGCTGCTTTTGGTAGAAACTATTCAGTACCACATTTTCATTATTTTTCCAGGCATGACACAAAAGGTACTTTGGATGAATGTTGATATCCTCATGGCAGGGGATGACTGACTGACATAGTAGCTAGGTCTGTAAAGATGCAGAGGAAGCTTGCAAATTTACAAAATATTTTAGGGGATTAAATGAATTTGGTGTTTAGGAGCTTTTAGACAGCTTAGCTGCATCTTCAGGTACCTAAATACCTTTATAACGCTCAACCTTTTTTAATCCCTGATTCATGTGACTGAATGGTGGTGTGTATTTGCTGATGAAAGCTATGGCTGACTTACTTCGGGAAAATATTAGTCATATTTTAAATAAGCATAAATCTAAAATTAAAATAAGACAAAATGTTTTAATAACAAGCTGTCATGGAAGTGCTAATGAAAACAATTATTATTTACATGATTAATGGGGGGAAATGTATAGTGTCTGGCTTTCAGCAGCCTTATGGTAATAGCTGTTAGAATTAGACTGGTGTTCATTTCTTTCAAAAGGGGAGAGTTATGTCTGTTCATCTGACAACTTCTTCAAGAAGGTGGAATACACCAAGAATGTCAATCCCAACTGGTCTGTCAATGTGAAGACATCTGCCAACCAGAAAGCACCTCAGTCTCTGGCCAGCAGCAACAGTGCCCAGGCAAAGGAGAACAAAGATTTTGTGCGTCCCAAGCTGGTAACCATCATCCGCAGTGGGGTGAAGCCCCGGAAGGCAGTACGTGTGCTCTTGAACAAGAAGACTGCTCATTCGTTTGAGCAAGTTCTCACCGATATCACTGAAGCTATAAAACTGGAGACGGGAGTGGTCAAAAAGCTGTATACCTTGGATGGGAAACAGGTAGGTGATTTTTACAGATGTTATGTCTTTTCTTTCTCTTGAGGCTTTGCTGACTCAGAACAATTTTTGAAGCCTAAAATTAACCTGAGATGATCACTGCCATCTGTTCTCTTAGAAGTTGGACTTCTCATGCCAGTGGTTAAGTTACTAAATTTTCACTGATATTAATATCAAGTAAAGAATGTAGCCAACCGTCTGAGTGAAACAGATGCTCCATCCTGCACGCCAGCGTGCAGTGCGTGTCTTCCAGACTAGCTAAATAAATAACATGGGGGGGTTCGGCTCACAGCCACCAATTGATCTGGCTCTGAAGTAATTGCAAGAACTCTTGAGATTTGGATTCACTAAGTGAAAATGTGTTGCTTGACTTTCCTTGCCCTCAGATGAAGGCTTGCTAAGATAAAGTGATTGATCCAAGCATCCTCTTCTGGCTAGCTCAGTAACTATCAGGCAGAGCATGGAACTGTATTGCATTTTCTTGACAAACTGCATGACGAGATAACATGTAGAAGGATTTGGGTCAAAAATATTTAGTGGGTCATCATAATGTGCTTCATGTCTACATTTTCCTGGAACTGAAGGAAACATCTGTCTCTTGTTAGCAGCTATGCAGCAATAAAGCATTTCATATTGCTGTATCTATGAAAACACTTAAAGGAATGTGGAGGGTAACTCTGGGGACTGGGAAGAGCTAGATTCTTCAAAGGCAATTCTAAGCTTGATTTAACAGTTCTATGTCTTCTGTAACTGAGGGATGATCTTATTTTTGTCACTATTTTTTTTGCTCCAGATTCTGGAGTGAGGCAGCACAGCTCTTGTGTGGGGGTTGGATGCTGGATATTCTAGGTATTGATGCTATTGCTTTAAATTAAAACTTTTTTCCGATCTCTGGAGAAAATTATTCAAATACTGGCTCTTGAAATAACATGCCAAACCTAGACAGTTCATCCAGCTAACATGGAGATTTTACATATGAAAATGTTCATCCTTCTAACCCCAAACATAGGCTCATAAAGTGTCCTGCACAGTCCGGGTGCAGTGTCTGACAGCTGAAAGTAGCACTCTAACCTGCCTGATATTCTTGCTTTGTCCCAACCTCGGTATCCTGCACATTAGTTAGTGCCTGCTTCAAGCATCAGATAAACCCAAATCTCAACTGCCTGTCAAAGCTTTTCTTTCCACTTGTCTCAACCCAGCACTTTTTTTTCATAAGATGTGTAGTTTATGCATGAGTGGGTGACTTTCTAGCTAGACTGTCCATAGATATAGTAGCATGCTGTACATAAGCAGTGATACAGGGAGTGATGTACTGGAAACCTTGGAAGTGGCTGAGGGAAGAGAAAGGAGAAAGTCAAATGATCTGTCCTGACTGAGGAAATCGTGCATGGGCACAGGACCATGTGTTTTGAATCACAGCGGCTTTATAAAGGGTTTAATGATGGATCTGGCCTGAAAGCAGTTGCCTACTCATGCTGTCAGGGTCCTGTTGCTCTCAGTCATGAATAGTTAATCTGAACCTGTAAATTGCCTCAGTTCTTTGAGAACAGACAGCATTTTGGAGGTGAGCTGTTGCTTTGGATGACACGCAGAAATAGGGATGCCCCATGAGCTTTCATCAAACTGTTTTCTTCATCTTTTAGCTAGTTACAGGAGTAAGTGGTGTTTCCACTTCTAACTAGAGAGCAAGACTAAATCAGACCATAAATCGAACTGAGCTTGTGGCCTTGTGACTGGACCAGCCTGTGAAATTGTGTTAATTCTCAAGTGGTGATTTGGGAAATGCTGCTTGCTCTCCAGTTACAGATCATCTAGAGTAGTGCTGCTGTTGGGTAGACTGCAATCTGTTGCTGGAGTGGCTGCCTTGCATGGAGCTACAGCTGAGCAAGGGGCACAAAAATCTATGTAATTTAGCAATTTCTACCATAAACTGTTGTCCATAGCAGAGACCACACCATACATGACTCCTCTTGAATCAAAAAATAAAAGGCCTTGTTTTCGTGTCAGGCTCTGATAGCTGTATAGTCACTGGTGCCTTAATTCAGCACTGTTTTGACTGGGGCAAGCTGACAACTTCACAATTAGTTTTTGTTGCAGAAATGTGATTTCAGTAAATTTAGTCTGAGTAAAGATATCGCATTTAACTTGTTCTGCTGGCTTTATAATTCACCATTTTATGAACTGTGATATTTCATTGTGTGTTAGATAAACCACAGGGAGTTTTACTATATGCGAATGTACATGCGTATTGCAGTTATTGAAAAGAGTGAGATTTTGTGATTTGACGGTAATGGAATGTTTGATATTTGTTTGCAGTGCAGAAGCACTGAAGCTTCCTGACGTCACCAAGGCTTTGTTTTTATTGGAAGGCTTCCTTCAGTGTTTGTATTTTAAATCTAATTTGATTTGAAATTTTCCACCTATGTGTGTTCTTAGTGTTGAAGCTAGAGCTAGAAGTGGTGTGGGTACAGTGTTTGCTGTTAGGGTTTCCATGACATAGTGCTCCATAAAATCAGATGTCCTATCATGATATTAGAAATTCTTGCATGTCTGATTCTGCCATTGGAAAGAGATTCTTAAATGCCTAATTCTGACAAACAGTACTTTATTTTCAGGAGAAAATATTCACGCAAAGGCGCAAGCTGCTCAAAGCTGAAATACTGACAAGAATCCTGACAGTCTGTCTCTTTGAGTGTCATCGGAGGCACATTACCCCCTCTGTTGCGAAATGATAAAATTTACAAAAGGAACGTACAAAGGATAATCATCCTTCCTCAGTCCATGAGCTGTAACTTAATGAGGGGATATGATTATTTTATTTATAGGCATTTCCATGGTGCTCATCAGCAGAGTAATCAAGATGCTTTAGAAGTACAGACAGTAGTGGCAATGATAGTGGTGTGTAAATAATTACATTTCTATGCACTGCAGACCTGCTGCATTTGGAGTGAGAAAGCAGTTAATTGAGAGATAGATGGGATGTGTTTGAATAAATGTAACACTCAAAACAACAGTGAGGTTAGGGTTTTTTAAGGAAATTTTGTGCCTTTTCTTGGATTGTCTGTAGAAATATGGTCCTTTGAAACTGTGAAATTAGCATCTTGTGTTTAAGTAGTTTATTTAACTTGGTCTTGCACATATTTCTAATGCCTTGTGCCTTGTCTGTCTGTACTCAAGTTTCTTTCCTCTTTGGAGCAAATATTCACCTCTTGATGGACACCCCAGAACTCAAAAGGGGTTTCAAATTGTTCACCAAAAAGGAGTCATGACAGAGAATCACAACAGATTTAAATTTTGAACTTTCATGACCATATAAGAAATGATATAGGTCAAATAATTCAGTGCATTAAAGACACAATAGAGTGGATCAAATTCAGTACTTGGTTTCATGACTACAACTGCTGTTGTGTGGAGTAGTGTCATATATGTTATTAATACATACATATGCAGGATTTAATTTGGTCTGATCTGTGGATCATGTTGGAAAACAGTTGTTTTGGTAGATTCTTTCTCTTTTTTTAAAACAATTATATCCAGTGTCTCAAATAAGTCTGGATTCCTGGGAGGATTGGCTACTTTATAAACACATGATGGCAGTTTCTGCCTCATGTCATTAATAAACTAAATTAGAACACAGAATTTGAGACTGTGGATGAAGTTGCATTCAGATATTTTTGATTGCAATAGTCTGAACTAGACTTTGCAAAGGTTGTATAGATTTACTGTCCTATTTGTGCTTGTGCTTCTTTCTCACCATGGTGTACAATAAGTAGGTGCTTTTCTGGAAAAGAGGAAGCTATTTCATCACTGTCAGCCCAGTTCCCATCTTCTGTTTTCTGCACCTTGCTTTGCAAGTGGTGTCTGTGTGCATTCATTCCTGCTTTTAAGAAGTGTCCTGGAAAAGCTAATGTCTTCTGTATGTGCTGAACTTCTTTTCCTGTGCTATCATGTATTTCAAAGTGTGTGAGTTGTTCAGCAAGTATATGAAGAGATGTAGTAACAAAAATCAGTCTTTTTTTTTTTTTTTTTTTTTTTTTGGCTGAGTGGGTGATACTGTGGATTGACCAGAAAATCATCAGGTATGTTCAGTTGTTGTTTATCATTAAGATATTTTCTGTGGTATGGTATTCCTTCTGCCTTTTCCCCATTTAGTTCTTAAATACCCTATTCTGTGACCTAGCATCACCAAATAAGCAGAATAAAGTGCTGTTCAGAGGGGGGAGGACTGGTATGCTTCAGTTCCACATAAATATAGATATTCTGGTCAACAAGCAGTGAACTCAATGTGGTTTTAGCCAAAATAACATGTAAAGACCTCTTTGGGACTTTAAAATATTCAAGCACAGGGAGAAGTCACATACGTGCTATTCATTGGCTTTTACCTAGCCCAGATAAAGTACTTCTGTTCCATCTGAGTGTTAGTGGTCTCATCAGAAGAAATTATATACATTTTCATATGTCAGGATATTTGTGACTGTCCTCCTGAAAGAATTTCTAGTCTTAATAAAATGGTTCCCTCTAGCACTCTTTGCTTTGATGAGGATTTCATGTGACGGATGATAAGTGAAGTTCATCCTTCTGTTTGCAAAGCTGACGCCAGCCCACCTCTCCTGTCCAGAGGAGAAGTTGCTATTTTATTTTAGATGACTTGCATTGAGGAAGGGCGGCAGCCACAAAGGGAGACGCAGAATGACTAATCTCACAACAGGTTAAAGGTTGGGACTTTGGGATCAAAGCCAACAAAGTAGTTGATAAAGCAGCTCTTAGTACTGTACTACTAGTAAAAAGCTACCTTAGATGCATCCATACAAGTTGCACTGGAGAAACCAACAAACTTTGGAGCTGCTGCACTGATTTTAAGATGGTATTTGGAAACAAACTATAGAAATTTCATTGCTCAAGTGTCAATGCTAACAGCAGACCAAGCTCTGCCAGAATAGTGTAGCTTTATTGATTATATTAATGCGATTGTATCAATATGACATAGAACAACCAAAATAGAC